AGGAATGAAAACTGAGTGTGAATATACAGTAAGTGTTTACAATAAGATGTACCTGAGATTTTTCTCTCAAACTTTCTCACAAATGTAGAAAAACAAGCTGACAGTCTGAGTCAAATTCCAGAGAGGATATACTTGCAAATATTATACATGCTGATGCTTATCTATTTGGTTGTCATGGTAATGTTCCTAAATTGTTCCATGGAACTGAAGATTAATCATAATAAAAACAACCCAGATTTATCTGATTCTAGTATACATTTTGATGATATGTTCACTGAAAAATGTCAGAAGCCAAATTAGCACTCAAACTAAAGATCCAGTTTGTTTCAAAATTATTTTTATTTATTATTATTTATTATTTGGGGTGTGAATATGTACAGTGAATAATAATATCCTCTCCAATGCTGTCATAAACTTGTAAAACGCAAATCCTTGGGGATAATGAAATGTTCTCATTATGTACAGCAATATCTCTATATATGTTATTCTACATGCTGGGCAGTCAATGTTATTTTATTTGGCTTACAGGCAAAAGAAAAGGGTTCCACAAGAGTTCATGCTCTGAACAATGTCAACAAAGCACTGCAGGTCTTGCAGAAAAATAACGTAAGTAATCATCTGGATGGGGTCAGAATGTTCTGCAGACAGCATGCTTCATGTTTTGTAAGTGATAGCTCAAACACTGAATATGTGATACAGTTTCTGCAGCCTCCTTATAATGAAACCGGTATTGGTAAATGGATTCAACTTACCACTGGGTTCTGCTCCAGCATGAGCCATTTGTGATTGGATATAATCAAAATGGCTTAACCTCTGCTGCCAAAAACTGTCTGACTAATAAGTATATCTTAAATGCTATGTGGAACTGATCAACAAGCACAAATTTTGATTATCTTGTGGTGTTTAAAATAAATTTTGAAATGTTAATTACAATAAGGTGAGGCTATCCATCAGAATTTCAACTCATGAAATGTCTAGCTTCTTAATATGATTAAACAGAGTCCAAAAAACCTGAGTTTTTTCTTTGGTGAAACAATTTCTAATAAATGTCCTTAGGTGATTGTGGGATAATAACATTAAAGAAGTGAATCAGGTCAAAAACAACTTTCAGTTCTATTCTGCCAAGATTGAATTTTCAGGCCAATATGCTGCTTATAATGTTGAAGTAAATATTCTCTTAATATCTTTTTCTTACAAGCATTCTAATTGACCAATAACTTTACCAGACACTTTTAGTGGCCACCTAATTATATCACATCTCCCCCTCAAGAATAAATTCAAATAAATTATAACATTCACTTAAACCTAACAGTAAGCTGTGATGGAATAATAATAATGTATTCTCAGCCACAAATTATATTGAATTTCTTGATAGGTATAGTAGGTCATTCAATGTGCTTGAGTTCAGATGCTGCATAGATTCATTGATTTTTATAAATCTAAGGTCATTTTTACCTATCTGTGCATTTGTGCATAAATGAAAGTGACCTTACATGAGAGGTGTAAAGACCTTTCTTATCCATTTAGGAGGTCATATATTTTAAATTGAAAAATATAAAAACAATTTGTCAAATCTATAAAACTATAAGGATCCATTGTGCAATATACAGATTATATATCATTTTGGAAAAAAATAGTAATCAGATATTCATCTAAATAGATCTTCCCTTCATTCATACCTAAATCCAGTACATTGTTAATTCTGTAAACAGTTTAAAGTCTCTGTTTAATGGATATTATCAAACTCTATTAGTGTATTGTTTATTCAAATTGTAGCACACAGCTACCATGCCTTTGTAATCCATGCAAAGGTTTAGCACATGCTGGTCCAATAGAAAGAAACAATCTTTATTTATTTAGTTAGTTAAGAAAATGTACTGACTGTTAAGGTTGTTTATGCTAATTAAAAAATATCCATATTTAATTTCTTAAGGCTTCATCAGCTCCCATGCACATCACACACTATTTTAAAGTCAAAAGTTCTTGCTACAAAAATACCTTTCCAGAAACTGTAATTATTTGAGCCCAATTACTCTGCATTGTCACACATATAGGATAAGTACCTCCCTGAGCTTTGAGAACCTCTCAGAAGGAATGACTGGGGCCACATGAGAGCTATATCATGGCGCTGAATATTTTGAAAGCAAGATTATAAAGGGATCACGTGGTTTTAACTCTAAACGCCATAGACCTAGAAAACAAGAGGGGATTGTCTTGTATCTGTGTAAAAAGACAGACTATGATAAAGAGTTACAGTAAATATTATTTATCCTAAACCTTACTTTTTAAATATCCTCAGAGTTTAAAGTAAAGTGTTACAGAGTACTGCCTCTCCCTCCTCTTCTATAAGTAGAACTCCTCCTCCTCCTCCTCCTGGTTTAGATGAGCATTATTTTTCTCTGGCTCACCCTTCAGCTTTGGCTAGTGGAGAGAGAACTTCCCCTTTTGGTTCATTCTCCCTTAATCACTGTACATTCCCACTTGGTAGGAATTTAATGATCAGACCAATTCCTAGTTAAGTGAGCTGAAGAGCTTTGATTAAACAAGGATTGTTGGACTGGCCTCCCAGAGCAACCCTTAAGCGTAGATGCTAAACTGAGAGAATAGTTCTGTGTAAAATTATGTAAAAATTTCCAGGTGGGAGTCCTACAGGTTTCTGAACTGGAAACCTATGAAGACAAAGCTGGAACTGATTTCACTTCAACCCCGGGTAGACAGCATTTTAGGGTCTAAGGCCTTTGACAGATGTTCACTTTATGACTTGATGGGATCTAATTCACCATCCGTGAAATCACAGGGATGCCACATGTGCATAGCTTCCAACCTATGGTGTCCCTCTTGGATATGTCTCTTCTTGAATGCTTGTGTGTGTCATCTGACAGAATTTGGTCTGTACTGGTATTTTTCCGCTGTGTTACCTGGCTTCTCTGGGTTCGATCATGTACTGGAACCCCTGCTGTGTAGCAAAGCACAGAGTAAAACTAAGATTTAACCCTTTATAATTAAGACACAATACCTGTGAGTGAATATACGTATGGACAAGTACTGCATTTACTTAAGTACAAGATACCCCTGAATATGGAACAACCCCCTCCCCAGATTAGATTCTATATTTGGAAAAATAAATTTGTTTCAATTTTCCAGGTATAGAATTTAACTATTGGATTTAACCTTGAATTTGTCCCCCTTCCACTGCTACAGCAGGGAAAATAAATTGGGGAGGGACCAAGTGGCCCACTTGCCCTCTCCCTGCTCAACTTCTCCCTGCAGCTCCTTCTCCCCTTTACTATTAGACCATGCACTCCTTGAACACATGGAAGTGAGGGACAAATTTGAAAATACTGACTTGGAAATAAACATGCCTCTAGACTTATTTTATTCAGAATGGATGTATTTTATCTTTTCTGAAACTGTAGAAAGTTTTAGCACAGGTAAACATCTTTTTAAGTAGAACTTTTGTACTTACTTATATATAGTACAATTCCTTTTTTTTAAAGAAACTTTTTCATGTCTCAGGTCAAATTAGCCAGATCAGTTCCAAATCCTTTGAGTCATTCAAAAACCTTATGTTGCCCTACTACCAGCAAGTATCCTCCACCCTAGACTTTTCAGCCTAGGGCTTCAGATACTTCCAAATCTTTTGGGAGGCATCCTATGTGCAGGCCCAAGCCTGGAGCCTTGGTGTTCAGATGACCCCAAGTTTCACTTGCCCTCAGCCATATGGCCACAAGAGCAAGCTTGAGAGGAGTCTCCCATTTCATAGTTTCATAGATGTTAGGGGCTGGAAGAGGCCTTACAGATCATCGGGTCCAGCCCCTTGCACTTGGGCAGGAAAGACTCCTGGGGATTTCCATAAAGTCGGTGTGTAGCTGAGATCCTTCCCCTGGAAGCTGGTCAGTGGGAAGCTAACTATGAAGCTGTTGTGGGGAGTCCTGTCCACAAGCAGACAGGGGTGCACCCTCCACTACACAAAGCCATTTTTAAGCCACCTACTTAGTCAGAGTACTTTCCCCTGCCACCTTCATGACCCTGGTATTTCCTTTGCCAGGTAAGTGTATATAGTACAAAATATGCATGTTATTAGTCCAAAGCCAAAAGGCTCATGATTTACCATATAGTTCATTGGGCTGGGTCCCAGCAGAATTAACAGCATTTCAAGCCACGGAGACCCCACAGCTCAGCACTGCTCAGTATGAGTTTGTACTCTAGATACCCACCCACAAAGGATCCATGTGTTGACTGCCCCCCACTCATGACTGGAACCAGGTTTTCTTGTCATGAGTCCTGGGATCCTCTAAAAATGTATATGCAAATGAGGCACAGGGCAACTTGGTCTGGCTGCAGTTTATGTAAGGCGAGGCCACACTAGTCATATGCAACAGGCTGTGAGAGGCAGCAAGAGAGGGATTCTGGATGAACTCTTTGGGGCTGTATTGGTGATGGCTGCCAGATATTTAAGGCTGGTGAAGAACTGGAAATCATTGCAAATGGGAAAGAAAGGCACAGCTCAGTTGTGGGAGTGAAGAAGCTGAAATGTGGCTTCTTGGCTTCTTAACCTGGCAGGGGAAATACTATCTGTGTCCAAGAAGGCAGTTTTCCTGAACCACCTTGTGGGAGAACTGCTCTTCTGGTGTGGTTCAGTACCCTCCGAGGTGCAGCAGCTTTAAGCCCAGTTTATGGAAATGGGAGTCTCCTCCCTTGCTTGCTCCAAGGGCCTTATGGCTAAGGGAGAGCAAAACTCTGGGGCATCTGAATGCCAAGCCTCCAGGTTTGGGTCTGCATGTAGGATGCCCGCCAAAGGATTTGGAAAAATCTGAAGCCCCAGGTGTGGGTGAAGGATGTTTGAAGGTAGTAGGGCCACTTATGGTTCTGGACTCCTGGATTTGGAATTAGTTTTGGCTAATTTGGCCTCAGATACAAATTAAAAAAAAAAACAAATTACTGGAGTCACTTGTGGCAGCAGTTTAATGATAACAAATGCATTTAATGATGTTTCCTTGTATCAGAATGTAACATGAGGAGCTTTTTTTCCCCATTCTGATTGGAGGAAAAAACCTCATCTTATAATCAGAGATCCTGGTTTTCTCTACTTTAAAAGAAACCCCCAATTTTCAGTTAAAAAACAAACAAACAACAAACCCAAAAATGTGGATTTGGGGTTACTTTTTTTTTAACTAAATATTGGGGATTTTTTTTAAATCAGAGAAAACCCAGGACCCCTACTTATAATTGAGTAAATATGGTAGGTGGTTGCCTACAAAAACTTGTTCCTTCCCAAACCAATTAGTCTCTAAAGCTTGGTACATGCTCAGAGGTGGGAGGAGACATTTTAATTTGAGCAGTTTTTGGGCAGCTGCTTTAATTAAAACGCTGCAGTGTCACACATATTAAGCGCCAATACGTTTAAAAGTGTCTGTGGAATGCTTTGTCTAAACTTCATTTGATGAGGCCCCACTGCCATTTTTAAATTTGCAGGGGCTTAATACACATAACACTGAGGCAATGCTGCAGCGTTGTAATTAGGACATGGAGAAGACTCAATTAATTGAGTCTGCTCTGATGCATTTGAATTAGAATGCCAATGAGCATGTGTATAGGCAGCCTAAAGTGCCACAATGCTCTACTTTCTGCATAACATGTATATGTGCAATCCTCATTCTTCTGACATCTGTGGCAGCATTTTTTATTAATTTGAAAGCAGCCAGGATATCACTCTTTTGTATCTGAATTCACTAAACAAAAGTTGCACACAGTCAGACAAAGATAGCACTGCAGCTCCCATAGCAATGTTAAAGTGATTATGTTGAATATATATTTTTTGTTTTTCTTTTTTTACTACTAAATGTGTTAGATTTACTACTACAGGGCTTTTCTTTGTTTTTTTAATAGAGAAAGTAGCATCACTGAAGTTGTTGGAGTCTTCCTGTGTATATTTCCTTGGATTATGTCATTTAATTATCCCTGATTAACATTTCATTAGCATAAGAGGTGTTATTTTATTTAATTGTTAAATTGTTACATTTTCATAGAATTTTAAAGCTGGAATAATTACAATTTTGTATCATTAACTCTTCTACTTGCTTTTTGCCACCACATTAATTGTCCTGTTTGTCTAACATGTTTTGGATGTTTACTGAATGAAAGATTTATTTTTTATAAGAATAGAAATAAATAAAAGCTTTCTTATGGTAATTGTTAAATCAATTTAAATACTTGTTTTGTATTTCTTTAATAGGTTGATTTGGTGAATATTGGAAGCACAGACATAGTGGATGGAAATCATAAATTAACGCTTGGTTTGATCTGGAGTATAATCCTCCACTGGCAGGTGAGTGGTGCTGCTGAATGCCTAAGAGATGTGTATTCACTTATGTGTGGATGTTCCCTAAGCCTCTTTCCGTTATTACCCAGCCACAACCTGCAGAGCAAATTTAGGCATTTTGAACAAAATAAGGTCATCCACAAAGTGCTTATTTTTTAAATTAGCAAATCTTATGACAGTCTGTTTATGTATTATCTGGGACATTGAGAATCAGCAGATTATAAAATAGGTTCTGGAGCATTAACAGGAGTTCTTCTAATTTTAATTTTACTGTCAGCTGTTGCAAGTAAATACATAATATAATTACACAAAAGCAAAATGAGTAGACAAGCCCATGTGGAAATTATTTTTCCATAGTCAAAAAACTGAAAGTTAAAACTTACATTTTCTGAGAGGGGCCTGGAGTTTAACAAGGGGTGCCTTCAGTCTAAGAAAGGTTGAGAATAACTGTTTTAGACAAACAGAGATCTTGCAGGGATCTTGAACAGATGTGTTTAGGTAGGTAGCTTAGGATATCTACAGCTTCTAAGTTGCTAGTAAAAACAAAGTCTAGAAGGAGCTTGAGCCTGGATGCTAATTCAGGGTCTGTGTGTTCTTCTGAAAAAGGGGTAGAAGCTCAGCCCACATAGAAAGCAGAAATCAACAAGGGAATGTTGACAGCCTAATGAAGTACAACAAAATTTGATTCAGTGCAACAGGAAACAATACTATAAGAGTAACATAAAGAGAAACCAAACTAATAATATTGCTCTGCTATAAATGCACACAAACAAATTCCCAAATATGGGAACAGTAGTGCTCTTCTAATACTAATTCAACTGTGAGTTGTTGCACATGAATACAGTTACAGAAAGCAAAATGAGTATAGCAGTGGCTGCCAATCTGTGGTACTCATACCACCAGTGGTACACAGACCACCTGTCAGTGATATGCATTAACAGATTCATTATAATTTGTATGACAAAAATTTGCTGGTGGTACTGAAGGTTGTATCCTTTTAAATTGGTGGTGTGCAGTCTGCCAGAGTTTGGGAACCACTGGAGTAGAGGTCTCAAAACGTCTAATACTGATTCACTTCTATCCTTTACTCTGCTATGACTCCAGTTTGGTTCAGCA